GTTGGTTGTTGAGGAGCAGTTGGAGAATCCAAATCACTTGTACCAGAAGATATATTTTGAGATGTTTTTTCTTGTTGACTAAAATAACCGCTCAAAGGCAACATAGCTAAAGAGGATGATAAAAGCTGAGTAGAAAGAGAAGATGGAATATTTATATTGCTAAAAAGACCTTTTGAATTTTGAGTGTTCGAACCATGATAGGAAAAGGCAGTTGCTGCCGTATCAAACATTGTTTACGGAAAGATATTTTATGATGGAACTATATAGTACGTATCTATTTGGCTAAAAGAAGGGATATCAAAATCCAGTTATCTAAATCAACTCAGTTGGAAGAAAAAAATCAAAGGAATTGTGCGAACACAAGAGCTATTTATCTACGAATGATGAAAAAAAAATGTTAAGTACGCACTTAAGGTATACAGTAACGATATTATATATATATATATAGATATATAAATATAAATATATATATAAGTTTATATATTGCATAAATGAATAAGGTAAAATAAGCCGTGTTTAGGTTAAATTGTATTAATTGTATTAATTGTATAGATTTGGTATGTATTAAAATGCAATACTACATCACATTAATCACACCATTTTCTTCTCTGCTCGTTTTGATTGAAGTAGACTGAATAGATATTTTTTTACGTAGAATCGGATTCAGGGTCCACTTTATATTATCAGAAAGAGAGGCGGAGAGATATTTAATATGCGAATAATGATTTCCGTTAATTATTTGGTGGAATCTAAAAAGACAAACATGTCGATGTATGATTGGTTCATTTAGAACCACAAACAAGCAACGTGTTCAATTGCTTTCACAAACAAAAACTTAATAGATGCTAAAGACATGCATCAAACGATTCGTTCAAGAACAATGGCAAAGTTAAATAAAGTTGTTCTATTATTATTAAGATATATATCGTAAAGAATGTAGCCTTGATATAATATATAAGAAAAGTATCGATTATTTATGTTATAATAAAATAAACCGTTAAAAAAAACTTTGTAAGAACAATCAAAAGAATATGTTTTCTGGAAGTGATATTTAAGATCTGATGTGACGATTGACTAAGTTTACTTGATCCGAACGCAATACAAACAAGAACATACCATTTTAAGTTGCCTTCATTTTAGTGCCATATATATAAAATAACATTCGAATCTAGATCTACTTAGAACAGCCACGCATTTTTGTCGCAGTAGGTTTTTCTCTAAAGATCTGTTGTGTATATATTTTCGTTGATTTGTGGTTTCGGTTAAGGTTAATCACATTCAGGAACATTTGATTTCATGCCCATCTTTATAATATATAGGAGTGAAAGCATATTCGGATGACTAATCCACTAATTTTACGTCATTTAACTAGTTATATTATATATGTATACTAGTTATATTATTTATGAACTTTTTTTTTTATCTACAAATCTGTTTAAATTTAGTGATATATGAATGAACTTTGTGTACTTAATATACTTGTATACTTAATATGCTTAATATATTTCAATATATAGTTCAAATAAAATAATGATCAACTATTTTAACTGTTTTAGATTAGTGGCGATCACGGGCGTAAATCTTGAAAAAACAAAAAAGAATATGATTTTCTTTGCGACATCCGATTCTTACAGCCCACTAAAATATATTTGTCTATCCATTCCACACATAAAGATTACACAGTCACACACCTAAAAATTTTAATATTAACTTAGACACTGGACAAATTAGTACGTGATTATTTTGCAATTATCTGACTCGTCTTGGTTCTTAACTTTTAGATAACTTTTAGACAAAGAAACTCTACTCTGTTATTCTATATTTATTATCGTTCTTGGATGCTTGTCATGCTTTATATGCT